ACCCTCTGGTTCGCCTTAGGGAGAAGTGGGGGCGTCACATAAATGGCGTGTCTGAAAGGAGAAACCGAACCCTATTAGATATGGTACGGTCCATGATGAGCCACTCGAGTGTTCCAAAATCATTTTGGGGATACGCATTGGATACTGCCTCCTATACTCTTAACAGAGTACCCACAAAGGTTGTTGATTCAACTCCATATGAAAGTATGGAAAGGGAAGAAACCAAATCTATCCTACATGAAGGTTTAGGGCTGCTCAGCTTATGTTAAGAGGGCAGAATCGGATAAGCTTGATGCTAGATCCGACAAGTGTTTGTTTGTAGGGTATCCAAGAGAGTCTATAGGATACTATTTCTACAACCCAATTGAGCAAAAAGTGTTTGTTTCAAAACATGCTATTTTTCTAGAAAAAGAGTTTATTCTAGAAAGAGACAGTGGGAGTAGAATAGATCTTGAAGAAATTCAAGATCATCAAACAAACATTGAGCAACCTATTGAAGAACAACTTCAGCCACATAATGATGGTACGCATACAGAAGTTGTGGATATACAAGGGCCCCGTAGGTCAGTAAGGGTACGCTCAGCTCCCAAGAGATATGAATATCTTATGAGCCAAAGCAATGATATACTAGTCATTCAAGATGATGAACCTACTACCTACCAAGAAGTGTTGGATAGTCCAGACTCCTCCAAATAGTTGGAAGCCATGAATTCCGAAATGAATTCCATGTATGACAACAAGTTATGGACCTTGGTTGATCCACCTAAAGGGATAAAACCTGTAGGGTGTAAATGGGTCTTCAAAAAGAAGACAGACATGGAAGGAAATGTGATTACCTATAAAGCTAGATTGGTAGCCAAAGGCTACAATTAGAAAGAGGGAATCGATTATAATGAAACTTTCTCACCAGTAGCAATACTAAAGTCCATTCGGATATTGCTTGCAATAGCTATGACAGCCCCACCTTACCCTAAGGCGAACCAAAGGGTTCGGCGGACCGCCTGCCCAACTCTCGCAGGGACTCAGTCATACTTCAACCAAATCCGAAATAAAATCACAAGATCAAACGAAATAACAATCCAAAATTTAAAGTGAAACTTATATACATTTCTATCTCAAAAGGGAGTACAAATATCGAATATACAAAGGTTCTCAAATTCGTCATATCTCCAGCCCGTGCCAAGCACTAGGGCGAGAACCATTACAAAATTCAGAGATCTAGACGAAGCTAGTCTACACAAGGCTCCCGTTCTGGCTCGCCTTCCCCTGTTAGGGAAAACAAAACTAAAGGAATGAGCTAAAAGCTCAGTGAGGTTCCGAACACATAATCAAACAATAAGTTCAATGCATTAACCATAAATAACAAATAATTCAAGAACATGTACAATATAAAGGGATAATAACACATTCATTAAAAGGATACGTGCTCACAGGGAGCCATTCATTCATTCATTCGTTCATTCTCTTTTCATTCCCTTATTCCTCCAATCATCAGAAAATGCATTTTGATAAATAAAACCCCTCATTTGCATTGACAATCGAACATTCATTTCATTTACCCCCTCCTGGACGTTGGCCAGGCTCCACCAGACTACAAGGTAATACTCGAGTATACCAATCAGTCACCCAGGGTTACCAAATCGCCCGACCAAGTCCACTTCTGGCTCGAGTCGATCGGTAACGAAGGGTAGGGCCCAGTTCAGCCCTCAAGCTTACATTCATGCACATATAATCATTCAATCATTGTAAATTTCACATTCATTTAGGTCGAGTGCGATAAAGTACACACTCGCCTAGAAAACTCTTTTTAAGCAATCATTGAAAACATCTAACATGTTACCATTCATTCATAACAAGTCATATAATCAAGAACAAGCCACATAGTCAAGGAAATTACAACAAACAAGGAACACTCACCTATTTACGCAAAATAACGTCCAAAGTGTTCTTTCGGGTATTACCCTTAATCACCAAGGAACTCTAATATAATCAAAAGAATACATTGTACTTTAACTATCAAAGATTTAAGTGATTCAAAGAAAATTCGAATACATACTAGTACAAAATATAAATATGGTTTTGGTAGTGAAAAGAGTACATTTAAACCAAAGGACATAAGTAAAATATTTGTAACACTTAGGCTCACTCGTAAAATTTTAAAATCTCCATTTGAGTCGAAGTGACAAAGAAAACGTATTTCTATTAGTCGAAAATTTCATTTTTCTAAGGGTACAAGTTTCGGCCGAATTCTAACTTATATACCTCGATAAAAGAAGATGTAAATACCCTAAATGGTTCACGTGGTATTTGCACACAAGCCTTACTCAAGTCGCAAGTATATCGACCTAGTTCTCGAGTGTAAATTTGGGCAGCACGTCTTTTGCATGTACCTATTTTCCAGCCATTTATGGCTTCATTCTTTTCCTCAATCAATCCCAAAGTCACGCACAAAATCATCTCATTTAAATTGCCATTCCATAGGCTCCAAGCCATACAAGTACAAAATCAAGCTAGGAACATGTGCGGAAATGAAGGTTGAGTCAAGAAACAAAAGACAGATTTGACGTTATTTTGTGTAACGGACACAACCGAGGCTACGCTTATCCGATTGAGGTGAAATTTTCTCTGTTCGAAGCTAAGACCAAGACCTACAACTTTGATGAAGACCACTTAGTCAAGTTTGCAATGTATCCAAGTCAAATCCACAGATTACAGTACCAGATTCCTACCGACAAGCCAGTTAACTGTACTACATTTCAATGGCCATAACTCAGGCTACCGAAGTCCGATTGAGGTGTTCTTAGGGGCGTTAGAAAGATCAGACATAGTACTACAACTTTCATGTTTTGACTAAATACTAGTTCAGTACATATCATGGTGGAAAAGACACGACTAGATTGGTGAAATATTCAAAATTGATCACTGGATTCACCCAGGGCAGTCAGGGTATTCCGGTCTTTTCACAGGCTACGTTGCTCCGATTGAGCTGAAATTTTGCAGGAAACTATAAAAAATCATTCTATACAACTTTCATGCTTTAGCCTAAGCCTAATTCGTCCTCTAATATGGTGAATAAGAACCGAACAAAACAGGGTATACCTTAATTTCAATTCTGGAAATTTGCTACAATCATGATATAAGTCACATTTCTAGCTTAAAACCATCACTACCACCTCATATACAAGCTTACATATATCATATATCATTCACACAATAAGTATGATAAGTGACTCCTTCAAATCCTAACTCAAATTCATCACCCCCAACCATCCAAAATCACTTGATTTAAGCATTACAAGCACCCTTGAACCACAAATAAGCTAACAACAAATCTAGTATTAAAAATAAAGAGAGATTTCTTGGCAAGATACCTTAAAACCACAAGAAGATAGTGGTTTAGTCTTTCCTCCTCCAAAACAACTCCATCAAAACCCTCAAGCTTCCTAGTTGAGCACTTGTATGGAGCAGATTCAAGTTTGGTTGGCTAGATCACAAGATTTGAGCAAGTTTGGAAGCTAAAATTGAAGAGCTCTTCCTTTTGTTTTCTCCTCAAGAGCAGCCGGCCAAGACAAGGAAATATGAGAGAAAATTGGTCAAAAATTGGTTTTAGTAAAGGTAATGACTAGTAAGTCAAAAGCCATCCTCCAACCGATTTGCGACACGTGGCACCTTGGATGTTTTTAAACTTATCTTCTCACTCCCAATGATTCATGTATCTAGCTAACCTCTAATCATTTCCTAGCACCTTGTAAAATAATAACACGTAGCACAAAAATCATTTATTCACCAAAATTGTATCGCACTAGCGGGTCCCACGTCTATAAAGCACTTCAAATTAACGTACACTAACTCATATGATTTTAAAACTATACTTCCTTATAAAAATGCATAAAAAATTTAATATTTCCAAGGAAAGTGTAAAATGTAGGCAAAGAAATAAAATAATACTGAGAAAATATGAAAATTTTTGGGTTCTCACACTCTCTCCCCCTTCAGAAATTTCGTCCTCTAAATTTTTACCTTCAAATGGCTCAGGAGCTTGTTGGTTGCCTAAAGCATATACCCTTGCCGGTACTTTTGTTCGGTTCCCTCTTTCATTCGCTTGTTTTGATTTAGTGCCCTCCAGTTGCTGAGTACTACTTTCACGTGACTGTTTCCTCGGACAGTTGCTAACCTGGTGGTCACCACTTTCGCAGATCAAACACTTCTGCCCTTTCCGCCAACAATTATTCTGGGTGTGACTGGCTTTTCCACAGTAACCACAAGTCAAGTGAGAAGCCATCTTTTGGCTTTCTTGAGAAATCTCCTCATGTCCGATTTGGCTTTGTTTTGTAGACCTTTCATCTATCGACCCTAATGTCTATGGTGGGCACGGTAACCGGTTCACTTTCTGTACTTTAGAAGGTGATGTGAAACGGATCTAGACGAACACCAAGTTGGGATGAATGACGGAACTTTGACCCTTCTAGAATCACGAGCCACGAACTAAAGAGATTCCTTAACCCACGACTAGCAAATTTAGTGAACCAAAGGTATGGATAGAAGAACGCCACAATCAAGGAGACTACTTGATTGATAAGTTCGATGAACAACTTGAGTTTAATTCTCAAGTATTCAAAGGAAATTCTCTTGAGGCAAGAGAGAGTGAAATAACTCACATATATTTTATAAAATCTGAATTGTCCTTTAATGAATGAAAACCTAGGCTATATATAGCCTTACAGGACTCAAACCCTAGAATGTCCAATGGACGACCTTGCCCTTCATTAAGGGTGAAAATATCTAACTACTAATGGACTAAAATTAAGACTCTAAATTCGGCCAAAGTGAAGTGAAAATTGACCGAAATTATTAATGCTAACAAACAACTAATAATGGAAACTAAAACCCTAATTAGCAAGCTAGTACTCCGCGAACTAGTCTTTACTTGAATCTTCCAATTCCCCATGTGCTTGAATGGAATGGGCCTTGGACTCTATATTCTCATCATTCCCCTCCTCTTAAAGGCGATTTGTCCCCAAATCATGACTCTTCTTACAAAACAAAGGTGATGAGAGCATGTGTATAGTCACCAAGCAGCCTGCATGTCGCCTTCTCAAGCGAAGAAAGATCAAGACACCCTTGTGGGACACCAGGAAAACTTGTGGTGGTGGTAGATACATGTTGCGGACAGCAAGAGTTCCATGATAATGGCCACACAAGTGACGTCTCAAGCCTATGGGTGGACCGTGAACGGACGCCCGGCGAACCAAGGTTTGGTTGGGCTGCGCGTTGTACGCATCAAGACGTGCAAAAGCGGCATCAAAAGCCATTGTAACCCGACTAGTGCTGGTTGGAACAAGTAGAACTGGTACAGCACAAGGGCTTAGATTCTCTTGAATCCCACCCTTACCAAGCAACTCCTCCACTTGTCGTTGTTGCTCCTTGGTTTCCTCAGGATTGGTCCTATATGGTGCCTTGTTTGGAAGGGAAGATCCAGGAATGAAATCAATTTGATGTTCAATTCCCCTTAATGGAGGCAATCCATTAGGTATATCCTCAGGAAAGACGTCTTGATACTCCTGTAAGAGGTTAGTAATAACACTAGGCAAATAAGCATCAAGAGCATTAGTGAGTAAGGATTCCTTGCCAAATAAAATAAATAAAACCTGATTATAATGCAAGGCCTTTCTCACATCTTTCACCTTGGCAAGCATGCTGGGTTTTCTCTCCTCTCCACTGTTGTTTAACCACTGAAGCTTGTAGGGACGGGGGTGCTCACTAGTTGGCAAGTTTAGTTTCTCCACCATCAATGCACTAGCAACATTAGTGCAACTTCCGGGGTCAATCACCAAGCTGCATACCTTGTTGGTCACATGGCACCTAGTGTAAAAGATGTTGTCACGTTGAAGTTCATCCTTACTAGCTTGCGTAGCTAGTGCCCTTCTTGCTACCAATCCAACTTTGTCTTGAGTTGGAACTTCCTCTATCTCATCTTCCTCTTCAACCAAGGAAGGCATGTCTTTGTACTCCTCCTCTTCATCATCAGTGACAATGTCTCCATTTGGTAGCACAAGCATGGTTCTTGGATTTGGACATTGGCTTGCAATGTGCCCAATTCCTTGACACCTCCAACATTTGGTGTCACGATTCCTAGGTTTTGAAGTTTCAATTGTTGGTTTTGAAACAACCTTGGAGTCGGCTTTAGTAAAAGGTGGCCGTGAGCTTGACCCTTGATCTTGCTTCGGCTTTGGAGTGGTCCAAGTATTCGAACCTCTCTCTTCCCTGCTAGGCTGGAATGGTCGAGTAAATGTTTGTGGATGAGGGTTATAATTTCGGGTTGTACCCCTCCTCTTGAGCCTTTGCTCAATCTTGATAGCCTTCTCCACCATATCTTCTATCTCCACATAGTATTGAAGCTCCAGTTGATCGGCTATTTCGACCCTCAGACCATTGAGAAATCTTGCCATTGTAGCCTCTCTATCTTCTTGAATATCAGCTCTCAACATGGAGATTTCCATGTCCTTGTAGTAGTCCTCAACTGAGCGTTGACCTTGTGTCAAGGTTTGAAGTTTTTGGTACAAGTCTCTATGGTAGTGACTTGGTACAAATCGCTTCTTCATCAGTCTCTTGAGCTCAGTCCAAGTGGTTATAGGTGGTTCTCCACACCTTCTCCTGCTTGTAACCACTTGTTCCCACCAAACTATGGCATAGTCGGTGAATTCTACTACGGCAAGTCTCAATTTTTGTGCATCGGTGTAGTCATTACAATCGAATACTAGCTCCACTCGACTTTCCCATTCAAGGTATGTATCCGGATCAGATTTGCCTTGGAAAGGCGGAATCTTCATCTTAATCCCCTTGATGGCATCACTGATTGCTCTTGTGTTTCGCTTTGGTCTTCTTTGCTCGTATGCCTCATGTTCCGAATCGGCATTGGAGTCACTAGATTCCCCCAGGGTGAATTTTCTCCTAGATTTCCTAGAAGAAGCCCTAGACGAACTTAGTTGATCAATTTGCTCATGGATTGTTTCCAACCTTTGGTCAAATCTCCTCTGCATTTCCTTCCACATATTATCCATTTTAAGTGATAACTGAGCAATGGTAATTTCATGTTCCTGAGACATGGTGAAACCTGCAAAACTTGACAAATTGTTAGTAGAAAATGCCTCACTTGCTCCCTTAAGTGTTTCACTCCTCTCGTGTTTTCACTCAAGTGTGTATGGCACTCTAATGCTCTCACCAATTCACTTCTCAAACCACTTGTTTGTTTCCTTTGAAGAAATCAGAAATTTTCTCAAGGAAGTTCAATCAAACTTTAATCAAAATAGCTCCAAATTGTATCAAAGGAACAAGGAAACAAAAAGTAGAAATGGAAAGCTCAAGTAATGAATAAGGAATGGAAGAGGAAAGAATTGATGTACAAAGAAAAAGAAAGTCCAAGTACGATGATGGAGTTCCCAAGTGCTTTACTTAATTGCCCAATTGATTTTTGGAAACAAGTTAGGTGTTGGACTTATTTGGAAATTTCCTTAAAGTCGGCTAACCAAACAGAATTATTACCAAAATTTTTCCAGATTCCCTCTCCAAAAACCTTCCTAAAGTCGGCTATAACAAATCATAATTGTTCCCAAAAAAAATTCCAGATTTCCTTCTCTTTTGAAACCTCCCAAAGTCGGCTGCAAAACAGAATTTGGTAGCTAAAAATATTTCCAGATTTCTGCTCCTTTTAAACCTTCCAAAGTCGGCTGCAAAACAGAATTGGGTAGCTAAAAAAATTTCCAGATTTCTTGTCTTCTTGAATTCCCCTCAAAGTCGGCTGGAATTTCCTAAATTTTTTTCCCAGATTTGGTAGCTTCCTAACCCCAAAATTTTCCAGAATTACCTCTTCTTAAATCCCCTCAAAATTTTCGTCCCTTACTCTCCCTCAAGAACAACAACTCGGCCCTCCCCTCTTTGCTCCACACAAGGACAGTTTTGACGCTTGGTGCTAAACAATGGCTTCACAAGATGACTCAAGCAACGTCACCCAAGAATACCCCAAGCGGCCTGCTCAAGAAACTCCCAAGAGGTTTACTCCTAAGCCAAGAAAGCCCCGTATGGATGCAAGGACGTACAAGAAACTATTTATACGTAGGGAGGTGCAAATATTCAAGAACCAAGATGGTCAAGTTCCTCAAAAATCTCAACGGGTGATACAAGTGATCAAGACCCAAGGTGTGCAAGATTTTCAAGAGGAGGTTGGTCAAAACTTTTGAGTATGCTTTTCTTGATGTAATTTTCTGGTTTGTTGGAACAATTGCAACAAGACAGAATTGGCAAATAAAAGTGCGGCTTCCTCCTTTGTGGTTTGTCACCCGAATGCCCTTTGTTTTTTTTGTTTTTTTTTTGACTCTAAGAACACACAATTACTCGGCTGTTCTTGGGTAAAATTCCAGAATTTAATGTCAAACCAATGTTCTCCTTCAATCCTCCAACAACTATCAAGACATGTATCAAAGTTTCAAGACTTCAAGATTAGTTTCAAGGAACTCAAGAAACCCTAGATTATTGTAGTTCCTCTTCAAGATTCCAACCCCAAACAAGTTTAACCACAAAAATCAGTTTAGGAAATTAATGAAAACAACTTGGTGGAATAAACTAAAGTTTGGACAGATTTGGCAAGAAACTCGCACCCAAGGAAACCCTAGTTGCAAGTGAAAACCCTAGCCGTCGCAGAAATTTATTATTTTTTTTTTGTTTGATATTTAAACAGAATATGCAACGAACAAAACACGGCTACACTTGAAGGCAGGCTTCAAGACAGAATCACACAACAAGTAATGCACGAAGTGGACACGAAGCAAAAGAAATCAAAGAGTGACTCAACAAGACAACAAAGGCGGACAGAAATTTTTTTTTTTTTGTAATAACAATCGGACTTGACACAAAGGAAGACACGACCAGAATTGCAAAATAAAATTGACTAGAAAGCTTACGAACAAACTCAACGGGATATACTTGATGTCGTCGACTAGCTCTGGATACCAACTGATGTGAAACGGATCTAGACGAACACCAAGTTGGGATGAATGACGAAACTTTGACCCTTCTAGAATCACGAGCCACGAACTAAAGAGATTCCTTAACCCACGACTAGCAAATTTAGTGAACCAAAAGTATGGATAGAAGAACGCCACAATCAAGGAGACTACTTGATTGATAAGTTCGATGAACAACTTGAGTTTAATTCTCAAGTATTCAAAGGAAATTCTCTTGAGGCAAGAGAGAGTGAAATAACTCACATATATTTTATAAAATCTGAATTGTCCTTTAATGAATGAAAACCTAGGCTATATATAGCCTTACAGGACTCAAACCCTAGAATGTCCAATGGACGACCTTGCCCTTCATTAAGGGTGAAAATATCTAACTACTAATGGACTAAAATTAAGACTCTAAATTCGGCCAAAGTGAAGTGAAAATTGACCGAAATTATTAATGCTAACAAACAACTAATAATGGAAACTAAAACCCTAATTAGCAAGCTAGTACTCCGCGAACTAGTCTTTACTTGAATCTTCCAATTCCCCATGTGCTTGAATGGAATGGGCCTTGGACTCTATATTCTCATCAGAAGGTGCTATCATTTCACTAGGTTCCTCAATCACATTACCAGCTGCATCTCTTTTCCGAGTTTGGGAGGCTTTTACCTGTGCCTTTGCATTCTCAAATCGTTGGACTTTCTCAAGAGCCTCCGTAAACGTATTAACCTGAACCGCCGCTAGAGCTACTTGAATTTCCAAATTCAATCCCTGTATAAACCGTCTCACCCTTCTCTGTTCCGTGGCCACTAATTCTGAAGCAAACTTGGATAGTTTGATAAATTTCGTTTCATATTTAGCCACACTTAAGGTTCCCTGGCGTAGCCCAATAAATTCATCCTCCCTCCTTTTTTGGACTAAAGGTGGGAGATACTTTTCGTTAAATTCCCTTAGGAAGTTAGCCCATGTCCATACGGTTTGTTCTTTTTCCCATTTTGCCTTAATCACATTCCACCACGCTCGGGCCGGTCCTTCAAATTGAAACACTGCAAAGTTCACTTGTCTTTGTTCGGTATAGTTCAAAACTGCAAAGATGTTGATCATGGCTTCCAGCCACTGTTCAGCTATGTCCGGATCAGGCCCCCCAAGGAATTTCGGAGGAGCAAACTTCTGAAACCTCTCGAGAGCCCTATCTTCTCCTATTTCAGGGTTCGGAGGTTGATTCATAGGAATTTGACCTTGTTGGTCCGCCAACCTTGATAAAATGTTTGTCATTTGTTGAATTGCCGTCGCCATTTGGTCCCCGGCTTCAACCCTCGGTCCGTGCTCTTGTTCAGCTGTTGTTTCCCATTCTTCTTGTGGTTCTTGGGCTCGCTTGGTCCCACGGCCACGACCACGTCCGCGACTACGTCTTCCCTCCATATTATTTTTCCCCTCTCTTTCCGTTTCTTTTCCCTAAAGGTAATTTAGTGAATAAACGCAGTAAGTTAATTAAAGTAACTAATTTCTAACACACCACTACACCAATAGACATATACACACATAACACACCATATATCAAGGAGACAGATGATCAGATACACAAATACATATCAACTTAGACAGATAATCATATACACAAATAAACAAACTAATGTCATATAGTAACAATATAAGGGCGAATCAAAAGAAACGGTGATATCGTCCCAGTCTCGGTTAAAGTAACCCCGTCCGGTTTCTCACGTCACTTTCTATCCAAACTAAACGTCCGTTGACCTCTTGTACTCATTCTAGCCAAACAAAGCCTGTTCATGTTTCCAAAATGCAAATCTCACATACTTAGCATCACCTCAACTCTAGAGTACTCGGGCACGAGAATCCGAAATAAGACAATTCACAACTCGAGTTGGCCAGTCCCAAGAGTAAACTATCTACAATCGAGATTCCTACCTGACGTCCCTATCTACTATGCTCAAATACCATGATAATGATTTAAGACCTATAACAATTCATGATTCATAGCTTAAGCTCAAAAGAGCACTTAGCCCTTCACACTTATTCACCACTTGGTCTAAACTCACTCCGCGCAGAGACCACGTGAAGCAGGCTCTGATACTAACTGTGACAGTCCCACCTTACCCTAAGGCGAACCAAAGGGTTCGGCGGACCGCCTGCCCAACTCTCGCCGGGACTCAGTCATACTTCAATTAAATCCGAAATAAAACTACAAGATTAAACGAAATAACAATCCAAAACTTAAAGTGAAACTTATATATATTTCTATCTCAAAAGGGAGTATAAATATCAAATATACAAAGGTTCTCAAATTCGTCATACCTCCAACCTGTGCCAAGCACTAGGGCGAGAACCATTACAAAATTCAGAGATCTAGACAAAGCTAATCTACACAAGGCTCCCGTTCTGGCTGGTCTTCCCCTGTTAGGGAAAACAAAACTAAAAGAACGAACTAAAATCTCAGTGAGGTTCCGAACACATAATCAAACAATAAGTTCAATGCATTAACCATAAATAACCAATAATTCAAGATCATGTACAATATAAAGCGATAATAACACATTCATTAAAAGGATACGTGCTCGCAGGGAGCCATTCATTCGTTCATTCTCTTATTCCTCCAATCATCTGAAAATGCATTTTGATAAATAAAATCCCTTATTTGCATTGACAATTGTTCATTCATTTCATTCACCCCCTCTTGGACGTTGCCCAGGTTCCACCACACTACAAGGTAATACTCGAATATACCAATCATTCACCCAGGGTTACCAAATCGCCCGACCGAGTCCGCTTCTGACTTGAGTCGATCGGTAATGAAGGGCAGGGCCCAGTTCAGCCGTCAGGCTTACATTCATGCACATATAATCATTCAATCATTGTAAATTTCACATTCATTTAGGTCGAGTGCGATAAAGTACACACTCGCCTATAAAACTCTTTTTAAGCAATCATTGAAAACATCTATCATGTCACCATTCATTCATCACAAGTCATATAATCAAGAACAAGCCACATAGTCAATGAAATTATAACAAACAAGGAACACTCACCTATTTATGCAAAATAACGTCCAAAGTGTTCTTTCGGGTATTACCCTTAATCACCAA